TAGTCTCTGGAATTTACATGTTGATGTGAATGAATTAATATATCTTGCTATGTTGGATCTGTTAGTTGATTGTTCAGATGCTTGTTCACTTAAACATCTACAATTAACTGACTGTGCAATTGAGTTTTCCTGTTGAAACTTTGATATGATGATTGCAGGAAGCTTATAATAAATAAAGAAATTCAGAGGCCACTGATTCAGAAACTGATCTTATATTTTCAAGAGCGTAAAACTAATATTGAAGGTGATTTTATAAGGTTGTCATGTTGCCATAGTACTGTAATGTGTACAGAAAAGGTGTTTTGAAGTTTTGAAATTATCGAAGCAACATATAGGAAAATTTTGGTTGCAATGCCCTTCCGTTGCTCTGCTTTGAAAGGAATAAAACCTCCAAGGAAATGACATGGCATTTTAGGGCAGCAGTTTTCTCTGTTTCTTGGGGTGAGTGATGGTGACTTATTAATTCTTGTTTGATTTGACTTCAGACTCTGTTCAACCCAAACAAGACTGTGGTGAAAATGTTTGTAGTACTCTTTGACTTCAGTGATATGCCTCCCAGATCTCAAACATTTCTGCGTCAGAGAACGTTTTCTGTGTGGAGACACACTTGTCAATCAACTGAGGTATGTACAGCCTTTGCTCTGTAGTGGTACGTACATTGCAAGGAGGGGTTGGGAGGAGATGGTCATGTGCTTGTAACTGGCACTTTTTGAAGTGGCAATCACCACTTTGAACTAATAATTTGCCTTTTTGTCTCTACACTTCTTTTAACTAGAGATTCACACCCTTGAAGTGACTCTTCTCCCTACTTTTTTGATTCTCTACTTTGGAGTTGCAATACCCACTCTGAAGTGGCAATCGCTATTTCAAAAGTGACAATGGATAGATCTAAATGTGACTGATGCATTTTTGGAGTATTTTTGAACCTGAGACACTGAGTGTTGGCTTATTTGTAATTATTTCATTGTAGCTTTAGGTGAAGGAGTGCAGAATAAGCTGATGTTGAGTTGATATTTTTTGTATTGTTACCATTGTTACAGGGTCGTAATTCCTTACACTATCTCATACACTTGAGGTTAGTTTTCTTTTTTTGTTACAATGTGGCATGAGAGACCTTCAGATTCTAGGACAGATACAAAGTATAAATAAGGGATGTTACAGGAGATAGAGTTTAACATTACTTAACATGTAGTACTAGGTAAATTGTTGGTTTCTATTTTACCCAGAATAGCATGGTTTAGGTAGGTTTCTGTATCATGATGTGACTTCTAAAAAAATATATTCTTGCTTTTGGCACTCCCCTCAGATAAGATTTTATGGTTGTACCAAACTGTGCACAATTTGCCATCTGACAAGTCTTCATTTAACAATCCCTGTAGAGTGTCCTAACCAAGTAAATAACTTACCAAATAGATCCCAGGTGGTCGTGCATGTGTGTTTAGTAATGGATCACAGATGATGTCAAAATGTGGTAAGAACAAGAAAGTGGTACATGAGGCACAGCCTTAAGTTTCACTGATTTTCTTACCACACTTTAGATCTTCTGTGATTTATTACTGCACAGACCCATGGCAACATGGAGTCTGTTTGTTTTATTCCAGAAAGGAGCAAAGAATAATGGAGATGTTATGTATGGGTCTGTCCCCCAATAGGTCATAAGTAAGAAGCAATCATAAAGTGGCACATGTAATTCAGCCTATTACATGAAACTTAAACCTGGACTGTTACTTTGGTCTTTTCACTTTTTCCATATTCTTTTTGAACTTTGTTCGAACAAGACAACTACAATCCCTTGTTAAAAGTAGCACAACATTATGTATTAAAAAGAGAGCTCTTTTTTATTTATTTCAGATTTGTAAGCTCCAAATCTGGCAGATTGTATCTTCATACAGACATCAGAGTAATATTTGCACGTCAACCCCCTGACCTCCCTAGTGGGGTGAAATTTTGTACAGTGACCGATGGACCAACAGAACCTCGTTACACACAATACAATCATAAATTAGTATGAAGAGTAGTTCTAGCTTGCTTAATTTATTATAAATATAAAAAATTAATAATGATTTATATTTGTTAAAAATTTGTAGCAATTACTTTCTGAAATGTTGCTGTAGTCATGGTAACCAATCACAAGAGATTCTAATCAGTTTGTTTTTTTTCTTATTTTCGAGCATATTATCGATAAAATGTGCATAGAATTTACAGTTAATGGAATAGTTTAGGATCCAGTCATCATTTATTGCCTGAGGGGGGGGGCACACATAGTTTTCAGGGGGGAGAGAGGGGGGATCAGTCGTCGCCAACAGAGTATAAAGGGTGGACCTTAGAAATTGACTGGAGACCATAAGAACATCACAGAGCCTTACAGGGGTGGGGCGGTAATGAAATCGCGTCAATTTTTTCGTGACACGGCTAAAATCCTCTGACCCCTCCCCGGGCGATAAATAATGATTGGCTCCTGATATTATTTCAAAAGTATTAGGGGTTGGTTGTGCTACTGTGAACAATCCACACACTATTTGGAATATAGGTGCTCAAGTAATCAAACAATAGTTTGACCAGAGGCTGTAACAAATGACAAACAAACTGAGAGGATGGAGAGTATAAATGGGCTGTCGTTTTCCCTGTGAGTACTGAAAAATTTATGCTCGTCTCTTTCTCTGGATTTTGAAGCTTTTCTGTGAAAATGTTAAATATTTTAGGCAAAATTGAGATATTTATTGGCAAGATATAGAAAGGAAAGTTAGTGCTAAGTCATGTATATTTCAATGTAGGTATTTCAATTTACTCTAATCCAAAATATATAGGAAGGATGGGATGCGTTTGGACATGCTCCTCAATTCTCCCTTTTATTTCGCTGACTTCTTCCTTACCGGTGAGGTAAAAAGCGTATGTATCCAGAAAATACTAAAAGAAAGAATTTGTTTCAGTTAGAGCAGTTTACAAGATTTTGCCTTGCTGGTCTCCCTTAATGATCCAGAAAAATCGTACTTCTTTCTTGACCAGAGTGAGGTGATTTAAAACAACTGCGTCTTGTCGCTCGTGTTATTCCGCGCTTGAGACTACGAACTTACTTTGAGTTCTGGTTGGCTAAAGTGGTATTTATCTTTTGCTCTGATTGGATGATTTGATTACATCGGGTTTGCTATAGGTTTCATGGCGTTTTATCCTCGTGCAAACATGTCATATTTCACCTCGTGAAACTGGACTCAAAAACATGTATTTTTTTCATAGTTATCCAACACTGGATTATAACAAGCTTTTCCATATGAAATTAAATGATATACTATTTATTATTTTTGATACCAATTTTTTTGTTGCTTCCAAACCAGTTAGGTCATTCCAATTTTTTTCTATCACATACATATAACTCTTCGAATTATTGGTTTTTATTTTATTTTTGGTATTTGTATATAACAGCGCTACGTTTTAAAACAAGTAAAATATAAATTTATTTAAGAAGGATTTTAAGTCCTTCACAATAGCAGGAGCTAATTTTGGAATTAAGAAAAATATGAACGTAATGGCCGCATACCTTGAGATAGAGGAAAATTGTGTTGGTTAATTCTGTTGAGGGAATGAAATAAAATTGCATTACATATTAAACTATTTAAGAATTCCTTGTCCGTGATATAGTTTTAGAACTAAATCATCAGTCTTTGAAATGTTTTTCAGTGTAAAATTAAATTCTTTGATGAGTGTTGTGTTCACAACTATTTTCAAGTATCTGTGGTTGAAAGTACTGATGGGACTACTGATCTTTGTTGAGACGTTGACTCATCAGTGTGCATTAACTATTAAATAATTAATGATGTATCAATAGATTGGCCTTCACGTTACCACCTAAAGTGATTTTTTTTCTTGTTTGCTCTTTTCGGATCTACAACAGTTTTCAACTTTTTGACAATAGGAATTGACTAGCATCTTATTGCTCTAGTCACCCCTAAACCAGACGAAAATGACGGAAATGATCACCAACTAAGAAGCTCTTGATTCTTAAACAAGTTCTCCTTGTTAGCACCTTGGAAATGCACGGAGAACATTATGGAGAAAAAGCATTCTGATATTGCGTAAACGGTGAACGATAACCGGTCTCTACATTTACAACTCCTCTTACCCAATCCCCACACATGACGCAGTCGGTATTTCTTATCCAAGCGATGTGTGCGATGCGTTTCACATGTGAAGCTAAGTTATACATCACTCACGGAGGAGCGAAATCTAAGGGTATGAGATTCGAGGCGAAAATCACTGATTTCGCCCTGCGCAAACTGATCGTAGTCTTCGAGATATCAACACATTTCATTTCATTTAACGGATAATGTTCCATAATGAAGAGGTTACACATTACTTCTGAGTCTTTTTCTCTTTCTGCAAAATACTTCTACACCTTGGCTTCCATTTGATGTAAGTTTCATACAACAGGCTTCACATAACGTTTAAGTCAAATCACCACCGGTGGCGAGTTTGTTGTCGTGGCGAATCGACTGTTAAGCTGGTTATCATATGATTTCGTGTACACTTTGAGATAAATCAGCACGAGTAAAGCTAAAATGCTAGAAAATAAAAGAGGTGGAATGATAAATTCCTTATTCGATGGTTAATGTAATAGGAGCGGCATGTCATCATGCAACCCGTTCGGCTCCACGCGTGCTCCACTTATACCAGTTTGAGAGCCACATACGATGGCACTCGCAGGGCCGGAAGAAATTTTACAGTCCCTCGTGCTACAAGATTGGAAAAAGAGAAGAAAAAGAGAGCGAAGGTCGTACGATAAAATCCTTATTGAAAAAGTAAGGTCAGGCAGGACAAGAAGACGTTTGGCTCTCGGTCACGACGTAGAGAGCGAGCGCACGACCTGAGTAGTTTCTCATGATTCACTGGCGTCAGAACTTGCGGCAATTAACACAAACGGCCCAGGTGTCATAGGCAATACGTTATAAGAGAGTGATGGCAAACGTCAATAAAATAAATTTTTCATTCTTTAATGTACTCTTGCATAAAAATTTCGCACTGAAAAAGTAAAAAAGTGCTTGGTACAGGTAAGAAAATATAAATTACACTTTAAAATTGTTTATTCCACGCTAGCACACCGTCGCTAAGGCTGATAACTATAAAGACAACAATCTTTTTAATTACTGAAACTCACAAGCAGGGATCAATTAACATTGACACGAACTACGGTGTTTTAATAAATCCAGCCCGCAAATAGGAATTAAATGGTATCGAGTCTTTTTTTCATATCTATTTATATATGTATATATATATATATAAATAAGCTTGTATCCAGGTTTTTACCAAGAAAAAATAATGCATTTTTTCTTAATCCATAATCTCCAGTGCCTGTGACCCTCCCCATGCATGGACATCACTAGTTGGCCACACCCCTGATGTATTATTACAAATGTTCCTTAATACTGCTTCTGTTGTAGCATCATCCAGTGTATTCAGATCAGACAAGGTCTCATCATTTTCATGATTGAGATCTGCAAATGTCAAGCCTGCATCGAGTATTGTCATTTCATGGTCCTCTGCACCCCTGGGGTTGTTGTTTGTCCTCACTTGGGACACGCCCCAGTTTGAAGCAGTTACATTTGATTGTTCAGCATTGAGCATAGGTGTGAGGTTTCTTCGTGCAGAAAAAGCACTTTCCTGTGATGGCCGAGACCCATTGTTATTGACATCACCATGGAGAACTCTGTTGCGAAGTTCCTTTAACCCATTCAGATGTTGATTTGACTGTGTCTCCATGGGTGACGGAGTCAGGTGACGTGGGCGCGGGTTATTCTGTGGAGTTAAGGGATGAAATCTTTGATCTGCTAGTGCATGCTGTGTTAAAGGGGGAACTGACTGGCTTCGTTGATATGAAGGTGGGGGCATCTGCCCTGAAGAGCTTGTGGCTTGGTTACAGATTGACTCCAGTTCTGGTGAATAATCCAGTGTCTGCATGATAGGAGCCTGTGAAATGTGTCCATTATCTGCTGCACTACTGTACCTGCATGACTTTGCAATAATCCCTGAACTTCTACAAAATGTCCAAGAAAAACAAAAAAATTCAGAGTGAAAAAAACGGTACACATTGGCATTTTTACTGACAAAGTGGTTATCCTGTAAAGAGACTGTATTCTGTTAGCAGCCTATTACAACTATGTTGGGTTTCCAACTTAAGTGTGATGACTGAAAGTTAACTTTCATGGTGAATTTTTCTTCACACCAGTTGTTATTCATCCTTAATAACCCAAGATCAATATGCATATTCTCCATACTATTCTCTTTTCATTTTGTGAAATGCTGATGAGGAGAATTTGTTTAACAATCAAGAGCTTCTTAAGTTGGTGATCATTTCATTTATTCTCATGACCTTCGTGTTTGACTTAGGGGTGATATTGTAAGGAGAAATTAGAAGCTAGTCACTCTTGAGGTTTAAGGGTTAAGCAAGTTGAAACGCAACTGCATCATTTCCAATGAGCTAGCTCATGGGCTAAATTTATTCAGATACAAATGAGCAGCAGTCATTGCACTACCTACCCCTGCTTTGACTGTTGCTGAGACATATGCCCATCTCCATCAGATGATGGAGGACTTGTCATGTTCACACTCTGTGTGAAGCCTGTTTGAGCCACATTCTCTGCATTGTTGATCCCTAGAGGAAGCATAAATTCTTGTCCCCGCTGTGTGACATTGGGAGAGATGGGGTTCAGCTGCCGACCACACCCTGGAGAGGCCATTGTTGGGGAAGTAACAAACTGCTGTGGTGCAATGCGCTGCGGTGTCCTTGGTGATGGTAAGGGGTAAGCAAATGAACCAGGTCTGCGATTGGATGTTGGAGTGGAGGGTGCATTCTGATTTATTAGACGTGGTTGTTTACTTGGTGACATTGGCACATCATTTACTCCCATCTGTGACTGGGACCAGTCTCCATTCAACAACTGGCTGGGATGGGTGGCAGTTGGCCGCAATGTAGGAGGACTTGTTTCTCCCCTGGTGACTCTCTGCTCTTGGGAACTATTTGGAATAGGTGTGAAAAGAAAGCGAGTTGGCTCAGCTGAGTTTGGAGTGTGCCTTGCAGTTGCGCTCGCAGAGCTGGGAGTAACTGGACGATTTTGAGGTGTGCCTGGGGTGTTGAACTTTGGAGATGACTGAAAAGGTGATGTTATCTGGGGCCCAGCAGGTTGAATGGGTGTGGTGGGGGATATCATGGATGGAGTAATAGGTCTAATCTTGGTTGGATAGCCACTGGGAGGGGTGGTTGGGTTGCCACCAGGTTGCTGTTGCTGATAAAACTGTCCCATTTGAGCAGGGGGGCTTTGAAGTGACGGCTGTATCGGTTTGGGCTGAATGTGTACTGGCTTCTGCTGACTTGATATACTGACCTAAAAAATGACACAAAAGTGTTTCAGCAGCTTCAAGTGGTAGTTTACTGGTTTACGATTATTAGTATAGGTAATAACATGATTTCAAGTGCAATTTGATGGGCTTGTGCAATTATGTAACCTTTGAAAAATTTACATGTCCTTACTACACCAAATTGCAAGAAAAATTATCACTAAGGGTCAAGATAGACAAAATTTTGAAAATGTGCACGCTATTTGTAATCTGCACTTGTGTTACAACTTTGCATTTATGTTATATGAGAATGCACAAGCATTCAGCCAATCAGATGCAAGTAATTTTTTCATGTACATTCCTATCAACATTCTAAGTATCACCTAGATCTTGCAATTTCTCAGTTTCTCCTCAACAACTAAACAGGGCTGTGGAATAGATGACAGGTGTGAAAAAATAGATTGTGTTTTTATGATTGATACTTTCCTTTTCCTTAAGTAGAATGCACTCAATCTCCTATTATTTATACAAAAATATCCAACTAATATATATAACCAGGTGATAACGTGGATTGTTATGGAGAACAAGAGAAGAAACTTTTTCATCAGGATACCCCTTTTTTCTTGCTTATCCGCAGTTTATCAGTGATCTACACTAAATATACTTAACTGTAATGTACATCAACAATGAAAAAGGACTTACCAGTGTCTTAAAATTAAGAGGCAGTTGTGGAGCACTACACAAAGCTTGTCCTTGTGGTAACATAGGGTTTACAGGAATTTGTTGAATCTGCTTTTGCTGTTGTCGTTGAGGTATTTTTTTAGGTAACTGTTGTGATTGTCGCCGTTTATGTGTCAGCACCAGTTGCTCCTCCACTTGCTTTAAAGGTGCAATCAATGACACTGATGAGTGGCCCATTTGAGGAGTATTAAGATCAGACAGTACAACATATGCCGCCATGGATTTACTGGAGACATAACTGCCACTAACAAGAAACTTGGCCAATTCAATGAGAGTGCTGAACACTCGACCAAGAAGTTTGTTTGCCCACTCACACACAAGTAGACATGCAGCTGACAAAGTTTGATCCTCTTCTATTTTGTCACCTCCTGCAAGGTTGTTTGCTGAATTCATTGAACTCTGAAAGACAAGTAAATGTCCAGGTACTTGTTAATCTAAGAGTTCCTGAGAGAACAAACTGAAATTTGAAGGGGTTGGAAACTCAAAATTTCCTGATAAATTTCAAGCAATTTTTGTGGAAGACAATCACTCATCACAAGAAGTGTAACATCTAAACTACCTCTAAGCCCAAGGGAAATTCAATTCCATTTAACCCTTTCACTCCCATTAGTGACCAAGACATAATTTCTCCTTACAATATTAATACAATATCTAGCAAGCATGCCTTTAGAATAAAGAAAAATATCAACAAGGGATTATTAGTTGCTCCAATACCAAATTCTCAGTACTAACATCATAAGTATTGTGTAGCAGAAAGTAAGGAGACTTTTCAATTAGATCTTAGTAGTGGGAGGGTTAAAACCCTTGTTTACCTTTTCTTTTTCACTGGGTGAAGGAATTTGAAGGGTGGGAAGGGTGGGTGGTTTGACATTCTTCTTTCTCTGGATTCCACTGTAACAGTACTTAAGGAAGGTTAAGGTGCATAACTCACATACAAATTAGTTAGTATGCCTGATGACTGCAATAAATTTCTATCCTTATGCTGATTTGCATTCTGAGAAGTTTACTTTACAGGAAAATGGACTACGACCAGAAAGGATTTAGCATTGATGACCCTGAACAATGCAGGGATTTGTGCAAAAAAAGGCTAGTATATAGAATTAAACCAATATGAAAGGATATTTGGAATTGCCTCTTGTACCAAGCCTTCTTGCTTTTACTCTTGGGAACACACACTTGATTATTTTTCCAAAGTCAGGGGCACTCAATGTCCGTGCAGCATTCATGCTTTCACAGTGAGCTCTGAAATCAGTTTTATCAATTTTAATGACACATCTCAATAACTGCAACTTTGATAAAAAGATGAAAGTTTAAGTTAAGTATCACTGTAATCACTCTAATTACCATGAACACTTTAAATAATCTGACAGGTTTGTTTTGCACTGACTGCTCACACGAAAGTTCAGAAAAACCAGCAATTAATTATCATTGCTGTTTGCAGTTTGATTTTCTACCTTTCTGAAGCCTGATTGACTGTTCCTTTGAAACACAAAAACATTCCATAATCACGCCACTAGTCTTCAGAATTTTCTGAGTTTCCAAGTAAATAGTTTGTTATCAAATAATAATCCTTATAAGTTCCTTACTTGTATTCATCATAGACCTCATGTTTTGGAAGTGTTGAGTTATTATCACACTCCTCCAAATGACAACGAATCCTTTGAAAAAAATAACAGACATGTGAATAAAACCCTGAACCCTTTTATACAAACAAACATCAGTATGCATATTCTCCATACTGTTCTCTTTACATTTCCTAATGTCCTTATAAGGAGAATTTGTATAACAATCAAGAGCTTCTTTTTCTCATGACTGAATGTGTGAATTGGAGGTGATCTTGTAGGAAGAATTTAGATGCCAGTCACTCTTAGGAGTCAAAAGGTTTATTGAGACTTCCATGTACTCTGAATTTTTTTAACTTTTAAATTTGTTTGAAATAAGCTGATCATTACCTGAAGCTCAAAAAAAAAATGTCTGTCTAATGGTGCATATATCTGTTTTCTACAACTCACTAAGTGTGAGTAAGATTTTCTCTTTCGTATTCCTTGTTTATGTGTCTAACTAGTAATTAGAGATAATTGAGTCTCTCATCTATATTGGGAGCTAGGTATTTATTGGGAACTAAAAAGCCAGCATGAAATAATTAAAAATTCTACATAAGCCAACTCACCAATGAAAAGCTTGTGTTTGCTCTGCTCTTGTTGTGGAGATGGGAAGAGCTTGATTACTAGGAGATTAACCAAATAGTAATTCTTACTTGATTTATCATTATTTAATAACAGTGACATATTCATATTTGACAAGAACTATTCTCTGGAAGGTAAAAGTAGTTAACAGTGGATGGAGGTTGAAGTAAAGGGTTGGCACATGGGGTGGGGAGAGGAAGGTGGTGGTTCAGGATAAGGGGTAGACATTCAGGATATTACCCTGAGCATCAAAGAAACAAAGGGAGTGAAACAGAACAGAAATGTTCACAATGCTGGTAATGTTATGTTCAAAGTCAGTACTTTATACTTACTTATCAAAGTCATCTTTAGAATCTGTTGCTGTCTCTCCTGGTAGTCGAAGGTAAAGCAGCAATTTTTCAGTATCTGACAGTTGTTGTACTTCTTCCTAGAGAAAGGAAAAGTTTTCAAAATTACAAGACTTGAAAAGGAATCCTGTTGTTACATTTTAAGATAAAAAATAATTTTATTTCTTCAGGTTTAAGGCAAATTTCTTTCATGATACAAATGAATTTCTAAATAACAAAAATTTTTTTTAATAGCAATCATAAGACAACCTTGTGCTTTTTTTTCAAACTGCAAACCCACCCCCATAATTTCACAGGAGGAAACTACGAAATAATTAAGCACATGAGCATGTGCAGAGTACCAAACTTTTAGTATTTTACTAAATGATATATTAGTTGTTCAATTATTTGATTAATTATGTAAAAAATGAAAGATGATTACCAATATTTTTTGAATCCGCTCTTGAATTTCTTTGCTGAAAAAAGGAAGAGGTTTTAATATATTTATTCTCCAATCATTTATGTCCAGTCTAAAATATACTGCATTCTATATACCTTTTTGATTGTGTTAACAATAGCAAATCAAAATTGATCCAAGGTGAGGCTATGGAACATCTCACCCATTTAATTACATCCAATAAATTGATAATTTAAGCATATCATCAGGATCTGTTGCTGTTTTACAAATGCAGTTGTATTCTGGTAAGTTATCTTGAAGGTAGATTTCTTACGTTTTAATCTATGACACATCATTGAGAGATAAACATTTTAAATATCATAAAAGTGCACACCCATTTTCTCTATGGGGCATTGACAACAATCTTCTTGTTTGAATACTATTCCTTCATCCAGCTGGTTGAATATTTTGTTACAAAAGGCTTGGGGTGGTTTTAATTGAGTATCTTTATTTTTGATCCCTCCAAGTTCATGAAATTTGGGCAGTAAAAGGTTCAACAGAATTTGCCACTTAAACAACAAAAGCATATTTCCTATTAAGAGGTGAGTGATTATTATTAGCTAAATGAAGTCAGAGTATAGAGCACCTGGGTCTGTTGTTGGTTTATCATAATATATGCATGCTATAAATAACTGATTCTTCTTCTTTAGAATCCCACTCATGAACTACTTTACAAAAATTGTATGCACGATTAACTGATTGCATTGTCCTTCAAACTTCAAACATGTCTTTAATAAAAATGAAAAAAGAGAAAATATCAACAATGGACAGATTTCATACACATGTGATTTGACTTGTCGAGATAAAAGGAAATTACTTAATATGAAACTTTTTTTTAAAATAAACAACTTAAAAGTGATTGAATTACTTGGTGGATCTTTTCCAAAAACCTACTAGACTTCATGAACGCCTTTTAATTCTCTTTTAAATATGAGGAGTCCTTTTAAGTTAACATGATTCAGTATGTTACAAAGTAACTGAAAATATTGCAGAAAGCATGCTCACCAGTCAAACTTAACACTCATAAAAATTCAAATTCATAACTTATTATTTACCTAAGGTAAAATATTCATTATATCCTATTAGCACTAACTAATTATACTCGATGGCGACATCCTTCGTGCATTTGACTAAGTAAATGATTTAAGTCATTAAAAAAGAGCGCATTTTTAGATCTCTTTCTCTTCCAAACTCCTAGTGTATTTTCAGCCAGACTCAGCTCGCATTACTGTGTCGAATTTTATAAACTATAATCACAACAATTTGCTTTAAAATGTAAATAAACGGCTCTTTAAACTGATCCTCAATCGTTGTGCAGGTGAGTTCTTTTATTAAAAAAACTTGCACTTAGCTCTTGGATTTGAATTGTTTTAGGTGAAGGGAAAAAATTAATATGTCGCCGATATTCTGGTCAATATGTCGCAAGCAATAACTTAAATATTTCGAGGTAAACAATGAATAACCTGTTCCCACGACCCGATGGATGACTCAACACACCAACACATGGTAAAACAAAGCCAGCAGACATGGCGCTATTTCATAACGCACCTTTATATTGTCTCAAATGCAATAAGAACTCTATCGATGATTTATTCCAAATAAGAGAAAAACAGGTCAATTTCAGCACCGATATTTGAAATCTTACATTAAGAAAGATTATTACATCGCAAACGCGTTCTTCTCCTTCTTATTCGTTCGAGGAATGAATTTAAACGTCACCTGTGATCGCTGATACAATTCAACACGCTCCGTCATAAAATGCAAAAACAGTTGTTCAGCGACAGAAATGTCGATTTAACCATGCGGTGTGCTCTTTAATTTTTCCCGCGAATTTCCCGCAAAATTCGACTGATCTGCTTCATCCATAATTTCATCAACCCATACTTAAATAATCTCACTCATCTCAACACGGCCCGTGGAGTCACAAAAATGCCCATTGAGTTAACAAAATAACTGTTTTTCTCTTCCCTATTTTTTAATTTTCCTGGCAGTCACGTTGCTAAAACTCGCCCAAATGAAATTGCGTTTCAAAATAATTGCTTGCGTGAAAATCTTTTGCACCGTGATATTTGATCAAAAGCACCTGACTTTTTAGCTGTTCTAATCGCGATGTCAATTCTAATCTGCACGTGTTTTATTGAATTCGATCGCATGTGAATTGCATCTATGATGCCGAGTTATATGACAGCCTGTTTGTTTTACAGACTCCATTTCATTGACTCGCTTCACCACAAACTTTTCATGTAATGATTAAAAATGCCAACCTATTTTGGAAGGCACCCTTTTGTTAAATATATTGCCAAGGAATCAAATTGCGGCGTTTCTGAAACTATTCCTGCAATCTAATGAAATTGGACTCCGCAGGGGTCTTCATATGGGATGTAACGCCGGGTGAATTTTCTCGAAATAAACTACTCCATTAGTTAAGTTCATTACATTTCAAATCACGTAAAGTGGTCTACAACCGGCAAGATGTCAATAGTTAGCGTACAAGGTCGCCGATCAAACGTTCTAAACAAATGTTATTACCCGCAGAAGATAAATAAAAGTTTCACGGGGTTTCGGACGGTCACCAGCCCGTTAACACGCTCCACTGAGCAAATGGAAAACAATCCAAAATCATGCCGTCAAAAATTAAGCCGGAACATCATTTGCATCTCATTCATTTGACAAAATAGCATTAAGGGCGAAAAGAATAACGCAAAAGCTTCAAAAGACTTGAAATAACCAACAGACGTGAATTTACGCTTTCACCTCAAATTGAACGGCGAAAACTTACATATTTCATCCGATGAAAAAGAAGTTGCCTGTGTTTACAAAATAGGACTTTGTATATTTAAATTTCTAACTATCGAGCTGTGCATTTTAAACTTTGTGATGAATAAAACAATTTTGTAAACAGACGAATTTTTTTCAGTCGGTAGAAATTTCTGCAGAGGTATCAAATCCCGCAGGTCGAAGGAGAAGGGTAGGCTAGAAAAGTCCCCGATCGTGCCAAGTTTCTGAATGAATGAAATATTTTTTAAGAGCCACGTGTGGGAAGGAAAATCCTTAAACAACTTCCCGCATTCCAGGGTCACATCTGCCCAAAGCAGAAACCCACATGGCTCAGGTAAAACGACAATTCCTCGACAAAAACAAAATCAAATTTCGTAGTTTCATCAGCTAATCTAGTGTACACTTTGCAATTACAAGAAAAATACGTGGAAAGTCAAAAAGTCGAAATGCGGTAACATCTACTGCCACCTATATCAATCAAAACACTGGAGGGCTTCGAATCAAACCCGTCATTGATTCATAGAACACGCCTTCTACTAGAAATTACAAAAAGCACATTCATGGATGTGATTGTGATGAACACAGCTGCACGCGACACATTTCCGATCTTGCACGCAGCTATTTCTTGAGCAAGTCTCTTAATTGATTACATCAGTCAAGTCTTACTCGATCAACACATGTGAGCTTACCTTACGAACGATTGCAAGGCTTGCTCGATGCCAGCGTTTGGGTTATCCGCCTCTTCCAGCTCGCAATCTACTGGGCTTGGAGCAGGGGACGATTTCAAAGGCATCGGCATTGTAGAGGACTGAATAAGTTCGCTATGTGACGATGGGGTTAAGTCAACAGTGCCTGAAGTGCTTGTAACTTGCTCTGCGCTAGCAGGCTTCGATCTCTCTACCATCATTTCACTAGAACTCTGCATGGCTATCAGCAGAGATTCTGAGGGGTAACCTTCGTCACTTCAAGTCTAGGAGTTCTACAAGTTCATAACAAGCCTCGATCATCCAAATACCCTCTCTACAATAATATCTCAGATTATTAATCAAACAGCACATGGGATAACGGGCGGTTACGCATGCGTGAGCGCACGTTCCAAATGAAGTTTGACAGAACAAGGTGTGAGCAACCAATAGAATGCCTTGTAGTAATTAGCATTGTTCCTTATCCAATTATGTTTTGTCATTAAAATTACTTGGCACTGACAACCTCTGATTTTATTCTAAATGCGGCGAAGGGAAACCATTGCAAGCACTGCTCATAGTGGGTTTTCATTAAACCACCGTTTGCGCATTTTCAAACCATGTCGGCAAGTCCACTACAATGCTTTCCACAGGTACAATTGCGACTTGTAAGCTGTGCGGTAATCAGACTGATACTGCGCAAATAAACTTAAGTCGTATCTTACGGGGAGCTTGCTGTGGTTGTGTACAACTCCCAATGCACAACACCTATGAACGCCACCAATCTCTAGGGACTCATTTTCGAAAGGAGTGCTTCACTAAAAACCAAACCAAGCCGTCCGTGCCGCGCAGGTCTCAAAATCCCTCAAGTAGAACCTCGTATGATATGGAAAACACCCTAAAAAAATTTTCAAATTTATCAATCCTCTTCCAAATGAAAAAATCGTTTTAAACATAATGTATGAAATCTGTTTCTAATGACTTTTTTCTAAAAACTTCTCATTTTTCTAGCTATTGATAGCAACTATATTTTGGTTAAAGAAGTTTAAGGTCAGCATTGCAAAACTTCTTTCATAGTGGCTCAAGGTAAAGCTGCATAAAAATATTGAAATTAGCTGAGCACTCAACGTCAGGCTTTAAAAAAAAAGAAAAAAACAAAATTAATTACAGATTAAAATCGTACGACTAAACAAAACAAATTGTTATCCCATAGGGTTATTCGCTGCATAACAATAATTAAATAGTTGCTATTGTCAAAAGTTTCAACTGGACGCTCACCTTTGCCTTGGTTGAAATTTTGACGCCGATGTGAACTTGACCCCAGCTAAAACAGAAACAACAAAAATGCCATTAAAAGTCTTTTATTCGGAAGAAGAATAGAAAGTGAAAACAAAAGTGAAGCAAGACACGGGCAGATTATCCCTGCACGCTCAGGTCTCTGAAGTCCTGTATCTCTACAGGCCTCCGCCTTTTCACGTGATATATGCTTTCTTACGCTGCCTTTCTACCATTAAGTACTAATCTTTAACAAGGGCCTTTAAAAAAAAAAATTTGGAAGGGTTCATAGGACAGCTTAGGTGCAAAAATATAACTATACTCTCGTGATTGAGTTCTGTCGACGTTCCTTGTGCATTTTTGGTAAACCGTAAATCCTTGCCGATTGTGAGCCTTTGGAATAGATACTGTTATAAACATCACTGTCAAGGTGGGACGAAAAGCCTGAGAAAAGTGGTCACCTTGACAGTGATATTTATAGCAGTATCCATCCCAAAGGCTTACAACCAGCAAGGATTTACGACTTACCAAAAATGCACATTATATTCTCACAACAAGACACTTTGCCTAAAAAACAGTGCCAGTCTTTTCAACGAGAAAAGCTTCAAAGGTGTAACTTTCATAACTTTCAGTAAGCTGAATAAACAGGAAAAAATATTGGAGCACACATTTAGAGTGAGTCATACTTAACAAGCCTTCATCCCCATTTTCCTCTTACTAAATCCTGATCCCTCGCAAAATCACGTCCAACGAATGTTCTTCAGTATTAATACTTTAGTGAAGTGGTTTTAACCCAGGAGGCCGTTAACTCGTCCTGCATCAACACGAAAATACTTGAAACCGCTTCCCTCGTTATATTATCGACGTTTTGACCACCTGAGAGGAAGTCTTTTCCAAGGCCACGATCCGTAAATTAATCATCTTTCTTGGGCAACACTGTTGAAACTGAAAGTGATGGAAATCACGCAAACATGCAACCATGCAATCTTAAAAACATTAAGATACTCTTAACACGACCTTTTCTTAAAGCGATTTTCGTTCCACATTTCTTCGAAGTTACAATTAGCTACTCCGTTTGTATATACATTTTATTATCATTATTATAATTTATAATTTCGGTCTTATGCTGTTGTTTTTAACTCAAATCCCAAGTCGCCCCATGAGAATACCAAATTCCGCATACCGCTAAAGCAGTCCATTATCAGGATTCTTCTCAATGAAGTAGTTTTCTATCTGTAAGTAATTAAAAAGATGATTAGGTCAATAATGAAATTGAAAGTCTGAATTCAAGACTGATCTTGAAAATAAAGAACGGAAATCCGACTATCAAGTTATGGAGATATAATTGGATTAATGATCATATCGAAACTAAAAGTTCCTGGGTCTCTAAGACAGACAATCCCATTCTATTAGGAAAAAAAAATTCAACGGCATCATACTCTAACATATCAGTTAACTGACCGCGAGATAGGGAAAGGAGGAAAATGTGCAAGTCGCCCACTTGGTCTGAGCTCACGGAAGGCTCGTTCTATTGAACAATTAATTGTAGAGGTTTCGCTGTCTGAGGCCATATAAGAAATAAAGGGAGAAAATTGAAATGAAAAACTTCAAGGCTGTTTTGGCAAGAGTTTTCGTTTATTTCGGGTCGTAATCGAATGTAAAACAATAAAAGGTATAAAATGCTTTATTGTTATTTCAATAAAAAGTTTAAATTTGTTTTTAGATATATTTTCAGTCCTTTCAATTCTGATATTAAATAAATTCAACCGCTTGAGTGACAAACATAAGATTTTTGTCTGATTTATATCTCGAGAAAAGCGGTAAAGATATTTTAATGTAAAGAAATAAGTCCCTGCAGCCTATTAGACTTGCTGTAACAAGAGATCAGCAAACATTTGTATTTTCAACATAAAATTCTAAAATTTGTATAGCGGCAGCTCTGTAATAAAATTTCCAACGGATGTATGAAAAGGAAGCGCTTTTGATAAAAATACGTCATGCGGAACGTTTGGGTGACACAAAATAACAATTAACCCTTAACTCCCAAAATCTGATTGTAAATTCTCCCTTTTAGCTGCTAAACATTTCCTTGTAAATTAGTTACGAGAACTCGGTGTTAGGTTATGATAACACTGAGTATTTTCACTACTTGTTTACTGGATAAAATATGGATAACATGGAAAGATGTTACACGTTTTAAAGTCACTTCAGGTGTAACAGGTCCTTTAAATCTTCGTACCTCTGACTTCCCTGCATTTCTCTACATTTTACTATTTATCTTTATAACAATTCTTGCCTATCGACCACACGTATCACAATCGCTTGGCATGTTGTCGTGGGGGGAGAGGTGGAACGTTGGCTTCAGTTCCGATGGGGGAGGATGAACTCTGTTCGACGCCACCGTACAGTTCGTTAAAAGTCACATCAACACCTCTGTTACTAACTCCCAGTCCATCTTCTTCGTCCTTTAGCCAACAGGATGACGCGTTGTCCATGATTGGAACTTTATCCTCTTTTTTCGTTCGTGAATCAGCTCGGCGGCGCGCTTTACTATTCTTTTTTTCGGCTGCTGACACTGCAACTTCATTCAGCGGGCTCACATCAGATGAACCCTCGTACAGTGGATTAAAATCGCACTGACTGCGGTACGAGATAGCGGACTGGTACAGGGGGTTCATATCGGCCAAGCTCCCAGACCCTCCGCTGACACTTCCCGACGGGCCTGCTTCATAGAGCGGGTTGATATCAGCACTTGTATCGTATAAAGGATTGTCCCGTTCAAGTTCTGTGGCTGTCTGGTAGATTGGATTACTGGCTCTTTTGTCATACTCTGCTGTTAACGTTAAGGTACTTTCATAGTTGGGGTTATTGACAGATTTTATTGTCATCGATTTCGCTCTGTCTTCTGAGGATTGAACCACATCCGAAGGAGTGGAATCTGGGTTCGACATATGACCATATATGGGGTTTAATGACACATGATCTTCCGCGTGATTCTCTTCGTCGTCAACTCCATCCACGTTTTCTATCAGAAAAGAGGAAACAGACAAGAAAAATAGTAAATTTTGGTTTCACATTCAACTAAGAAGTCTACGAATGGCTTTTTAGTTCCCGCGGCTTTCAGTGATTTCCCTCGCATTCTGGATGATGATCTACAGAAAGTCTCTGAACAGACTAAACCACGTGATATGAAAGAGATTACTTACTTGAACTTTTGGGAGATCTTATTAATTTCTTCATGGACAAACTATATGGAACAAATAAACGAAAATCAATGAAAAAATAAATACTATGATTGAGTAGGTGAATAAATTACGAGAAAACTAGTGAACTTCGAGACGAAGTCGTGGTCCATAAAAACGCAAAAGAAGAACAAGGCTAATATAGCCATTTTGACTGAACAATCTTGATCAATGGAGTATTTTTTTATACGGCAAAATGATTTCGCCCTCGTCAGAATCAAGAACGACCGGTTTACTTTCGAGCGCTAAGAGAGAAAGCCAACTGTGATGGTAGTGTGTGATCGTTTTTTATTTGACAAATTGCAAAATAAAGTGGTAAGATAGGTTTTCTTTACATTTTAAAAAAGAATATACAAAAGCTAATTCAGTTCTTGCTTGGTCACGACTCTAAATTCTTTTGTCTCGTTTTACCTGGAACAAAACCGCTTCCATGCTTCCATATCACATTGTTTTTCACATTTTTCATATAAAAGTTGTCTGTCAAAATTGTCCAACGAGTACGAACTTTTTATTGCGTTGGATCAAAGCGCTTGCTCTCTTGGGTAGCCAATTAGAGAACAGGATTTGCTTCATATCGCCCAAGGGTGCTGCTGGCTATATCATGAATTGATAGATTATTTAACTTCTTTATTACCCTCGGACGCCAAAAAAAAAATAAAATAAAATAATTGCCACAGAAACACCTTGCAAAAGATTTAAACCACAACGGTCAAGGCTTTCATGAACAGAAATATTGAACCATTTAAATATTTTTTTCCTTGTTAACATGTGCCTCACCCTTTTCCTGTTCTGGATATCAACACGTGCTTCCTTCTCAAATAAACCAATACGATGATAAGAATAAT